TTTCCCATTAATTATGTTTACTTATTTATATATTACATATGCAATATTATAATGTATTATATAAACCCCTAGTAATACAGTTATGTGGCCCATTAGTGTAAAAGTTGTTTGATAAACTTGGTAATTCTACAGATTTAAAATTTAGAACCCTGCAGTACTTCAGGGCTTATGCTTTAAATTAACAGTTAAAGAAAGAGGCTGTCACCAATACTGTGTGTTTGGAGAATAGCTGGTGGCTTTGAATTTCTTGGTGAGTTTTGTGGTGCTGAAATGTATTCGATACAAAAGAAAAAAAATTAAAATAATTTTCAAACATGGTCCCAGTGGGGTAGAGACTGGCCACAAAAGAAGCTAAGTTTAATGAAAGTTGCTCAAGATTAAGGTTTAAAGGAGAACTTGAGTCAAGAACTAACTTTCTCCTAATGTTCTCATTGTGATGCTTACTGACTTGCTAATTATTCAGTTAAAATAAATCGCTTACTTTTTTGTGTCATTTAGGTGCTTAGATTATGAAATGGGGCTACTGTAATATTCCTACTTAAGATCTTACTAAAACTTAAAAATACTCTTTATTACAAATAAATAGATTGTAAGTAGATTGTCATTTTTAAGCCTCTATCTCTTAAAGATATATATTGTTTTCTACATAAAAGTGAGTGATTTTTATGATAGGTTCAATAAATTTTAGTGTTTTGGTCACTGTGCTACCTGAGGATGACTGTTTTTCTCTGTATGGTAGTACAGTTCTCTAAAAAAACTATAAAGTAAGCAGGGCTCATTTTGTGGTAGTTCTCCTCTCCTGAGACCTCACCTTCTTACAACTCCCATCTCCTCAGTAAGTCAGGTGAGCACAGGCCAGTGGGTTGGCGTTTGACTGCTGAAAGATTGCCCATTCCTGTGTTAGAGTTGTGAGAAATTCAATCTGAAGAAATGAAATGTCACTTTATTCATATGGGAAATAACTGTGTCTTGGAAATGTTCAGGACTTAGTAATTAACAGGGCTTCTGTAGCTTTGTGTGCTGGCCAATATGCTAGCAACACAGCAACAGAACGGACGTGTGAGAATTTCTGTCATATCCAAAATGGTTAAAATGGGGCAATAACAGAAGGCAAGGCTTTTCTTCCCAAGAAAGGAACAGCGGTAGAGCTTAGAGCCTTTTTATATCTGTTTGAGACACAGTCACATGTTTTGTGTTTAAGAATGACTTCTCATGTGAAGTAAGTTAGTTCTGTGTATACTTCTTATGGCATGGGCCGGATGGTCTGTGTCCCATTTTACAGTGACTGATAGAGAATTACTACAGTCTTATGGCTAAAAATGTCCCGGTGACTCAGTACTTAAGGGCTTATGCTCAATAATATGATAAAATAAAGGCATATGGTGGATGAAAGGGTTTGACTCCTTTGAGTTCTGATTTTCAGATCTTTCAGTTGGTAACACTTCCATTATTTGAAATCCTGAACCAAAACTACATATTACAATATCTGTCTCTACAGTCCTCTTTGAGGTCATTGGTAGTTCAGTGGTAGAATTCTCCACCTTTCATGTGAGAGAGACGTAGCCTCGATTCCCAGCCATTGCACCTCATGCACTGCCGCCATCCATTTGTCAGTAGCAAGTTTGTGTTGTTATGATGCTGAACAGGTTTCAGCGGAGCTTCCAGACTAAGACATACCAGGAAGAATGGCCTGGCTGTCTAATTCTGAATGATAGTCGGTGAAAACTCTATGCAGGGGTGGCACATGACCAGGCAGCATTTTGTTCTGTTGTGCATGAGGTCACTGAGTCGAGGGCCAACTCAATGGGAGCTAACAATAGCACAGTCTTCTCTAAAAAGGCAAACTGAAGTGACTTGGAATCTTCCCTTTTTTTTTTAATTGATCAAATATTAGTTTTTCTCCTATTTGTAGGTTAGTTTTTTGGTAGTAGATACAAAGAAGTACATAGTTTGTCCCCATTCTTTTAGAGTTTATAATTGACAAAAGGAGAAAAATATATTACAGGACATTGATAAATTGCAAATAAACTATACAGGCAGGGGATTTATAGATGTTAAAAGGAGCAAGAGAACACTTCAGGTTGGGATGGTCAGGGAAAACTTTGGAGAAGAAAATGAAACTTGTCTGAGCCTTGAGAAACGGGAACACTGAATAGCATTGGAGACAACCGTTTAATTGGTTGAAGGTCATAGAAGTAGGAACTGATATGGCGTGTTCAAAGGACAGTGAGTAGACTTTAGCATAGTGTTTAAGGGTACAGACTTTAGAGTCTGACTGCCTGGGTTCAGGCCTTGAGGAGGTTTCTTTACCTGTCTTTGCCTCAGATTCCTCATAAAATAAAAAAGACGTACTAATTGTAACTAAACACTGGGTTATTTAAGAATTTGAGGATAGTGCTCTCATATAGTAACTAATCATTTCATATAAGGTAAGTGTTAAATAAGTACAATCTGGCATGATGATGATGAAGTGGTGTAAGGGATCATGAAAGACTAGGTTGTAAAGAAGATTGGAGTGAGTTCACTGAGAGACTGGACTGTCAGAAGTGCATGTAGCTTGCATTCAGGATTATAGAAGCTTTATAAGTAGGAAAATATGATCAGAGTAAGCGTTTTTGGAAAAATAGCATAGCAGAGTAGGTTAAAGAAGAGACTGGCAGCAGAGAGACTGGTTAAGAGGCTATTATAATAGACCAGGCTTGAGGAATTTAAGACCAGACCTCAATTGATAGAGGATGGGTTTGTATTAGGAAGAAGAGAAAGCCCTGAGAAACATTTGCTGTGAAACAATTGTTAGGGCCTGGGGACTGTCCATCAGGACATGGGAGGCAGAGTACCATGCCTGGGTAAGTGAGAGAATTCAAACACAAAGGAGCTCTTAGGAAGGGCTGGTAATGTGTGCAAGAGAGGAATTCTATTTTAGATGTCTTAAGTTTAAACGCAAAAGCAGGATTTAGCATTGAAAATGTCCTTGGAAATGCATATCTGGTGCTCCAAGAGAAATCTTGTCTAAATGTAGAAATTGAGGACTCACAGTGCTAAGAGTTGTGCTGTGTGAGTAAAGGAGGTGACAAGGACAAGAGTGTACATAGTAAATAGTACATATTTTTCAGTCCCATTTCTATAACAGAAAGCATAAGTCTCAGAAAATGGAAACATGTTCCTAGTCCAGTTGATGCACTTGAAACATGGACAGTAATAGAGCTCCCTGGCCTGTAAAGTGCCACTTCACAGATGGAGTGCCAGTCAGAGCACTTCAGGAGCTGTTTATAAATGCTAGGGGTTTCTAGATTGTACACCATTGCAAACAGACTTTATTCTAGTGCAGGAGAATTGTCTTTTCAATTATCCTAATTAATCTTATCCAATTCTAACCATACCTTTAATATGGAAACTATCAACACATTTATTCATATATATATATATATATACTCTGTTAATTTGTGTTATTTGTATGCTTTTCTTAAAAGTTTTTCCTTTTTAAACTGTTTTTAATGTATGCCCTTTCTCTACCATTAGATTTTAACTTCCTGTGTGTAAGAAACAGGCCTTCTCTTGGTCTGAATCACTCACACAGTTTTCATATTCATTCAGTTATTGATTGATTCCAGTTTATTCATTCATCATTTATTCATTCCAGACAGTATATTCATTGCTAGGGTGATGAATAAGTCATAGTTTCTGTCCTCAGGGAGATGACAGTCTAGTTGGAGAAGAAAAGACGCAGAAATATGTAGTAGAAGCAATAATAAAGACATTCACAGAAAATTATGGGAACATAGAAGAGAAACACTTAATCCGGCTTACGAGGAGGTGGCCGTGAAGAGAGGGAGTTCAGGGAGGATTTTTGGAGGAGGCGACTTCTGGGCTGAATCTTAAATAATAAGTAGTGGTTATCAGGTAAATAGAAGGGGTAGAAAATGGCATTACTAATAGTGAAGGCAGCCTATGCATAGACCCATTCACAAGAAAAAATGAAGCAGTTTGGTGTTGTGTGGCATAAAGTGAAAGCAGAGAGTGGTGAAAGACAAGGTTGTGGGGGCAGGCAGAGACAATTGGAGGGACTTGTGTGCTGTGCTTAGAAGCATGGACTACATTTAGTGGCCAGAGAAAAGGGAGGTCCTTGAAATGCTTTAAGCAGAGTCGTGATTCAGTCAGAGTTGTGATTGGCTGTGGCTGTGGGGAAGATGCTTTTAAGGGGGACAAGACATTTGGGCGGCTAGTACAGGTGGGAGACAATGAGAACCTGAACAAGGCCATATTAGTAGGAGTGAAAAAATTCAAGAACCATTTGTGATGTGAAATCAGTGGGACCTGTTAGTAACCAAAGAGGGTGATGAGGGAGAGGAAGGATCATAGATGATACTCAGGTACTTACCTACCCACCCATTGCTGTCAACTCATAGCAACCCTATAGGACAGAGTAGAACGCCCCATAGGGTTTCCAAGGAGTGGCTAGTAGATTGAACTGCCACCCTTTTGGTTAGCAACCTAATGCTTAACCACTGTGCCATCAGGGCTCCAATACTCAGGTAGCTACCTTATATGAGTGGGTGATCTGTTGCACAGCCTACTGAGCGAATACAGGAAGAGGAAGAATACAGTAAGTTCACTTTTGTTTTTTTTTTCAACACATTGAGATTTTTAATGTGCCTATGATATATTTGGAGTTATAACTCACATTAATGCTTAGCAGAGCTGTCTAGATGACTAGAAATACTTTAATATTCACCTTAACCAATCTCCTCTCGGAAGCAGAGTTAACTTCCTGTTTTCTTACAACACGTATGTATACATCTGTCATAATTCTTTTCACTGTGTTATAATCCTTGATGTTCTTTTCTAGTTATCTCTGTAGCCACAGCCCAGTATTTGATACATATGGCTGCCACAAATATGAGCAAGTGAATTAATAATTATTAGGAAAAAATTATTATTTGATTATTAGAAAAAATTATATTTGGCTTATTCTTCTGATTCCTCTGTGTTTTAACTCCTAGCACCTTCCACTGGAAGAATCTCAAACAGTGCGACTTCCCCAGGAGCAGTGGCACCAGCCAACTCAGCTGTGGGGCAACCCCAGCCAAGTGACCAGGATACTTTTGTGCAGAGAGCTGAGCACATTCCAGCAGGGAAACGAACTCCAATGTGTGCCCACTGTAACCAGGTCATCAGGTGGGTTATTTTTTGAAATTTTCTTGAAAGTAATACCAATGTTGACTTTTTTATATTCTGAAAGATTTGGAACTTTATTAGTGAAAATATTCTTGCAGTATTTCTATGTGATATTATTTGAAGTGTGTACATGTGAATATGGAGTGCTGGTGGCAGAGTAGTTAAGAGCTTGGCTGCTAACCAAAAGGTTGGCAGTTCGAATCCACCAGCTGTTCCTTGGAAACTCTATGGGGCAGTTCTACTCTGTCCTATAGGCTAAGTATGAGTTGGAATCAACTCAAGGGCAGTGGGTTGGGTTTGGTTTAAATATAAATATGTACTGATAGAATTTATTTAAAATTTGAAAGGACCTTGAAGATCATTTATCCCAACTTTGTTATTTTGCAAATTGTAGAAGTGTGAGGACTTGACTTAGATGAAAAATAACTAGTGACATAAAATAAGGAACTTTAAGCCCTGTTATGTATGGATTGAAGTGTGTCCCCCAAAAATGTCTAGCAACTTGGCTAGGTCATGATTCCCAGTACTGTGTGGTTGTCCACCATTTTGTGATCTGATGTGATTTTCCTATGTGTTGTAAATCCTACTTCTTTGATGTTAATGAAGCAGGATTAGAGGCAGTCATGTTAATGAGGCAGGATTCAATCTACAGGATTAGGTTGTATCTTGAATCAGTCTCTTTTGAGATATAAAAGAGAGACGTGAGCAGAGAAAAGAGGGTCTTCATTACCACCAAGCAAGAACCAGGAGGGGAGGGTGTCCTTTGGACCTGGGGTCCCTACAGTGAGAAGCTCCTAGACCAGGGAAAGATTGATGACAAGGACCTTTTCACACAGCCAACAGAGTGAGAAAGCCTTCTCCTGAAGCTGGTAGCCTGAATTCAGACTTCTAGCGTTCTAGACTGTGAGAGAATACATTTCTGTTTGTTAAAGCCATCCACTTGAGGTAATTCTGTTATAGCAGCACTAGCTAACTAAGACAGCCCTAGAGAAAAGAAGATTGGATTTTCAAATACCTGAGTGGTGCAGATGGTTAACACGCTTGACTGCTAACTGAAAGATTTAGAAGTTCAAATCCACCCAGAGACACCTTGAAAGAAAAGCCATTGAAAACCCTATGGAGTACAGTTCTACTGTGACACACATTGGGTTACTATCAGTTGGAATTGACTCGATAGCAACTGGTAAGCTCTGAAAAGGTATATAACTACCTTCAGATCCTTGAATAAATGTTTTAAATGTTAGATTAAGTCATAACCTGCTTCATTAAAATATTTTTGTTGGTCTATTTTATTGTCTCTTAAATTCCAAGAAGGTAAAAGGCCCAAAGATCTGAAGTTAGTATACTTCAGTAGCATTTATTAAATCTCTGAGTGTTTCTTAATAAAAAACCCGTTGCCATTGAATCGACTCCAACTTACAGTGACCCTATAGGCCAAAGTAGAACTGTCTCATAGGATTTATGAGGCTATGGGGCAGACTTTACAGAAGCAGACTGCCACATCTTTTTCCCATGGAGTGGCTGGTGGGTTCGAATCGCCGACCTTTCAGTTAGCAGCCCAAGCGCTTAACTGCTACACCACCAGGGCTCCTATTTCTTAGTAAGTGGCTTTTTAAAATATTATGAGGTATAGATATAAATGTTGATTGCAAGGATCCCACCAAAAAGTCCTGTTGCCTGTTTGTGATGAGTTGCCGTCTGGCAGTAACAAATCATTTGAAATGATTACTCAAGCTCTCTTCTGTTTTTTATTTATCCTGTTTTGAAATAATTGAAACAGTGGCTACTTTAAGGTTGACTAAAGTTAAGAATTGCATTTTCCCGTCCTCTGGAAGCAGCAGTCAGGAAATCAAATGGACCTATTGCATCACGCAAATCTGCTGCAAAGGCCTCTTTAAAGTGTTAAAATCAAAGATGTCACTTTGATGACTAAGGTGTGCTGACCCAAGCCATAGTATTCTCAGTCGCCTCATATGCATGCGAAAGCCGAACAGTGAATCAGGAAGACCAAAGAAGAATTAATGCATTTGAATTATGGTGTTGGCAAAGAATATTGAATATACCGTGGACTGCCAGAAAAACGAACAAACCTGTCTTGGAAGAAGTATAGCCAGAATGCTCCTTAGAAGCAAGGACAAACATTGTCTCATGTACTTTGGACATGTTGTTATCTGGAGGGACCAGTCCCCGAAGTCCATTATGCTTGGTAAAGTGGAGGGTCAGTGAAAAAGGAAGATCTTCAGTGAGATGAATTGACATAGTGGGCTGTGTCAATAATGGGCTCAAACATAGCAAGGATTGTGAGGCAGGACTGGGCCGTGTTTCATTCTGTTGTATATAGGGTGGCTATGAGTTGGAACTGACTCGACCGCGCCTAAAAACATAACAATTATATAAGTATTGCTTAGGGTAGTGTTTCTAAGTAATACTTACATGGAGATCAGGAAGCCTCAATTCTTTATTTAAGAGCCAAATATACATATTCGTCTCCTACACCTACTATTAATTAAATAATATGTCAAGAACACAGCACATAGTAAGTAATTAAAAATAGAATACCTTTTTTATTTTAAAGGTAGTCCATGCTCATTGTAACAGTTTAAAAATATATAAAAAGAGCAAAAAAACGAAGTTTATATGTAATCCTACCTTCCAAGATAACTGCTATTAGTATTCTTAGTTCATACTTTTATGAACACACACAACTAAGGACAGATCTAGTTTTACACAAATGGAATCATAATATTCACAGTGTTTTGTAACCTGTCAGTTTTCACTTAATAATACCGTGAGGCTATCTTTCTACTAGTAAATATGGATCCAATTTATGTTTTTCATGACTACATAGTATAACATTATAGGAATGTACTATAAGTTATTTAATAAGTATTCTAATCATGAAAATTGAGATTGTTTCCAATTTTTAAATATGACAGACAATGATTTGTAGGTCATTCCTTAGGACAGATTACTAGAAATGGAATTGTTATGTCATTGTGCCCAGGATATACTTGTTCTCAATTTTAATTCTTATCATCTTTTGCCATTTCAAATGATTGCAGCTATTTCTACTCTCAATAAATCACGCATAACTGTAGGTCCACTCATCACTCAGGCCCTAATGCCAATTTTGTACAGTCATTTTCCTAAAAGTACTACTAAAGGGTTATGGCCTCATAGAAATATTAAGACTATTATAAAATTTAGTGTGATGCTGCTTTATCTCAATTAATAAAACAATGTTTTTTAATTTTTGCCTGTATTGTTATATTTTTAGATTAAATATGAATGCAATAAAAATAAGATCTGATTAGCAACATTATTTCTATAATTTATGGTGCTTTGGTTACCTAGGCTTGTGTTCAGGGATACTATCTATATTCTGGTTAAAAATACCCTTTATGAGGAGAGAAGTCACTGATGATATTTGGGTGGTGTTTTAAGCAAGTGATTATTGGATGAAGTAACAAAGTCTCAAACCACATCAGTTGCTGAGCCTATGTTGTCTGATTATCAGAGTCTGTGATCTCTACTCATCACTACTAAAAAACTTACTTAGGATGGAGAAAATGTAAAGATCAAAATAGGAATTACATTCCTGATTATCAAATTCTGTGATCTCTACTCATCACTACTAGCATACTAAAACATTTACTTAGGATGGAGAAAATGTAAAGATCAAAATAGAAATTACATTCCTCACCCCTGTCTGCCTTGATTTCAAACATAATGCTAGGCCACGATAAAATTTTAATGCATAATTGTCCTGCCATATGAAATAAATACACGTTATGTTAATAACATGAATGGCCGTCACTTACTGCTCCTTCATTTGTTAAGTTTTTATATTGCTCTGGATTATCCTAGCACTTGTTATCAATTAAGCATTAAAGCTTCATTTACTAGGGAGGTTAATAGGAACAGGGATTAGTTCATGTCAAGATCATATAACAGTAATTAACATAGCACATTTGCCTGGTGCTCAAATGCTAAATAAAGCAGCTTGAATAATACATGGTGGTCAGTTTAGAGATCTAGTCAAAGCATAATTCTGGTTCTTGGCCTCAGTGTTGGTATTATATACCAAAGCAAGGAAGCGTTTGATTAAGCGACATTCTCTTGGACACCTGTTTCAAAAACATGCTGCAGTTGCAGGCTCGATTCTTTCAATACAGAGTGTTATAGCTTAGCAAATTCTCAAAAGTTTAAGATTTATTTTGTAACATGTTTGTTTTCCACATATTTACTTTCTAAATATTTTAAATAAAAAAAAAATTTAAGAAAAAATAAAGGTAAGCTAAGGCAAATTTTGTGTTTTAATTGTTTTTGGGAAAACCTCAGCAACCCGAAGTACTGAATGTTAGTACTGAACTGATTGTCTTTATAAAACACCTTTAGCTTAAAATTCCATAGAAAATTGTATTTGGAGCCAGTGTTTAAAATTTTCCGGTTTATTTGAATCTTGAAAAGTGAAAAGTTTGTGGATGTTTTGCCTAATTTATATTACCTAGACATTATTTTGACTAGTTAGTTGCCCTTTACACATGGATAAGGAGTTACATTTTAGGAAATTCTACTGAAGCTTTGATTAAATTTTCTATGGAACATTTCCAACCCAATTATTATAGCAGTACCATTTCTTCAACTCTTACACTCGTGAATAGATTGACTGTTGGAGGGCTAATGTAATATGGAAAGCATAGAAAATCAGACTAATGTAGTCCAAACGATGTTTTCATTTCTCTGGTAGAATTGGGCTTTATGAAAACTCTATAGCTTATTTCTTGACTGTTGTATCTAACAGCATTAAAACCTATTGACCGTTTGTGTTATATTTAATTACCTGAACCATTCAACTTTAGCTTCTTAGCATCTTTGTGACAGAAGTAAGGAATTTATGGTATTTGAATTTCTTCTTAGATATGGAATGCTTACAATATCCTCATGACTGTTGTTCTCTTTTGCCTACAGTATAACATCAAGCAGTGACATTCAAACCA